CAAATAAGAAACTTACTTAGTGAGGTTATTTATCTTTTGTGAAAGTTACAAAATTTACTCTTGCAAGTTTGGATTAACAACTCTTTTTAAAAAAGCAAGGTTAAAATAAATGATCAAAATAAAAAAATCTAACCCAATAATCTAATACATATCCTACCCAATAATCATTTCAAAGCAAAGACCCCGACGTGAAAGTAAACCAAATCATCTAATCTATCAACACAAAACAACACAACGAAAGTGTAAAAAAAAAGGATTTGAACACACACGAAGCCCTTTAACCGCTTTTGGCATGTTTTGAAGGAAAAAAATGAAATTTATATTGTATTAATGCAATTAATGTATTAACTGGAAATCAGTTTATTAATATATAACAATAAAAATATATATAAAAAAAGTATGTTTACAAAAACAATTTGACTAAATTTGCATTATCAATAAAGGATTTAGAATTAAGGATCAATAAAGGATTATAAAATACTATAACATAAATACTAATTATAGACGCAGCGTTTTTTTTATCTACTACTCACTCTCCTCCTCAACATACGTACATATAAATAAAGAGGTGTGGGATGCTTAAGCTCTAAATTTGAACCCACACACTGTGAGATATAGACCCTCTAGCCGTTCTGAAAAATGCTTAAAAAACATTGTAAGATATCTAAATAAAATTAAATAATGACATGAAAAAAATAAAGAAGACAAAATAGCACTGCTAACCAATCAACCTGTTGCTGATTAAACAATGAAAACCTGTAAAAAAAAATACTTAATGCGTAACAGAAAAAAAATTTTATGACTAAAAAAACAAAAAAATAATGTTATTCGACTAGAAATTAAAACTATTTATACCTTGTATGCAAAAAAAACTAATTTTTATTTAAACTATTAGCTAATGATCAACATAGTAAACTTAAAATAATTCAAGCTTACTAAGTTAAAACCATATTTTAACAGTAGACAAGTGTGTAGTGCACTACAGTAGAACTAAAGAAATAAAATAACAACTAAGTTTAAAATGTTTTTAATACATAATTCATGCAGTTAAAAACATAAACAAATATTCACAAGTAGAACTAAAAAAACAAGATAATAACTAAGTTTTTAATGTTTTTATTACATAGTTCTTGCAGTTAAAAACATAAAAAAATAAGTATCATCTTTTAAACTAAAAACAATAATTTTTTTTGAACAGATAAGGACACATTAATGAAAATCTTATTGCCTATTCTAGATATAGAAGACTTTATTTAGAATTTGACTATTGCATCCCCTCCACTTTGAAACCCATGTCGTTGGACAGAAAAATACAAACTGCTATTCAAATCAAACACATTTAATTACATTTTCATTACATTAAAATAAATGCAAACTTTAAAACTCAAGATAAAGATATATTCAAATTTAAAACTTACAATATATGATAAGCTATGAGACTTTAATTAAAATAACAATCACATAAATATTGTTATTTAATATTTAAATATTTAGGAACTAAAAAAATAAATTTGGAAGATTTTTTAAGGTAAACTCAACTTAATAAAATCTAACATAAATATCACAACCAGAAAATAACACTGTACTAAATAATTAGAATAATGTAAAACATGTTTGAGTATTTAACCAAAAAAAACCAATAAAAAATAAAAAACAACTTACTTATATCTAAAATAAGCTCATCTTCAGCTTCTATAAAATTAACAGCTTGTTGAGAAACATTACTACACATCATTCACAAAGCAGAACATGTTTCATTACCTAAAACATTAAAAAGTCAAACTTTAGTAGCTATAAAAACAGATTGAAAATTACAAAATACAATTATAAAGAGAACTCATAAATAAAAGTATATCGAATAATTATAGTTTTACGATAATGATTAAAGAGATGTTTAAAGATATTTGAAGATTCATGAAAGTTTAAAAAGTAATTTAAATACCAATAGCATACACATCTACAGTGCCTCGTGCATCTCATGTTATTTAAGTCATTAAAGTAATTGATGCGCTCTTGGTTAAGAATGTTTAACAGGGGCGTCGATAAATAGCTGTAAATCTCTAAATTTCCCCATAATGTTAATATTAAATAGTTTTAATTTTTAATTATTATTAGAAACAATAAATTTTATAAAATAATATAGTTTAAACACAAAATTAGAATTTTTAATTATGTTCTTAATAAAAAAAAAACTTTTAAACCCACTTACCGTTTTTAAAAAAATGTTAAGGTCGCAGCGTGGCAAGTTCATCAGCCTGCCACGTGGTTTTGTTGTTTAAAATGCAAATCAAAAGTTATATAGATTTTATATGATATAGAAACATGTTTTTTACTAACTTTTCTTGCACAAACTCAATTTAGTTGTAAATAAACTTAAAACGTTTTGCTAAAATAACATAAGTATCTCAGTAATGACACATGCGCAAAAAAATAAAAAAGAGAACTGCCGATGGTAGGACTCGAACCATGGCTACCTTGTTTAGAGACCAGCGCATTAACCACTCTACCATACAGACACGTTGAGCGTCGATGATTTAAAATTATATAAAAAATGTTATTTACGGATATAAATACAAAATATTAGAAATCCAACAGAGGTTGACGAAATGCAGTACTTAAGTGAAAATCAAACTGTAGAACTTGATATATGTTGAAGCATGTTTTAATATCACATAACATGAAGTCTAGGTACGTACGATATAAGTTTCACGTTTGCTCACATTTTCTTATAAAGCAAAGGTGAGACTCTTTCTCGTCACTACCTCGGATTCAATGGTTGCCAAGAGTATCGTGTCAAACAAATCAAATCTTTATTTTTCGTTTTTTTATTTTAAACAAGTTATGACCCTTTAAACTGAAAATATTTTTTAAAGTTTTTTTAATAGTTTATTATTTCCAATAAGCAGAAATCTGTAAACTTTTCAAATAATTAAGTTTTTATGTTTCTTACAAATTTGAATTTTTTAATTTTTTTTTTTTTTTTACGTCCTGGCCTCCACACATAAGTGATTTAGACAGGTTTCTATAATGCTGTTTTCTAAATAAAATATTTTCATATATTTTGAAAAGTTTGAGGCAACAAGGCATCATATTTTTACAAGTTGATGCCTTTGCTGATTTTAACCATTTTTGCAGATCAAAATTTATTATGTCATTATGATACTACTACTAGCAAGATTATCAACCAACATTTAAAAGCTCTTCCTACCTTTCCCACAACTAAATTGTGGGTTTTAGTATCAGAGTTTTTCTTCTTCTAAGTAATTTACTTAGTGGTTATTAATTAGGAGAACAAAAACTCTGTCTACCACTAAGAAGATCATCAACCAAGAGACAAAAAAACATGAAGTCAGTAAAAAATTTGCATTGACAAAAAATACTGAGAAAGAAGCAGCATGTATATTTGGGGTAATAAAGCATATTTAATTACAGATTCAAATATTACTATTCATTTCTGTCTTTTGAACTGATGACTGAGGTGTAATAAATATATATATATATATATATATATATATATATATATATATATATATATATATATATATATATATATATATATATATATATATATATATTATATATATATATACAGGGGCGGGTTTAGGTTTAGGGTTAGTCTTGTTAGGCGCATTGACTAACATCTTTTTTACTAAACTAAACAACGATCAGGCTAATGAAATATGTTATATATTTTTTAGATTTTTGAAATAAAATAAAATCTCTATTTTTTTGGTCTAAACAGCAATAGCAATTAAACTATGATAAGTATATGCGCACGCAATAGCCCCGTCTTGTAATTTTTTTTTTCGGTAGCGTAACTTCGGACCAAGTTAGTCAAGAAATCTTGCGACTTATCTGGCCTATTCATTCGGCTGACGAGATTTCAAAAAATTATTGAAGTCCTTTAAATTTTTTTTATTTTTACTGTTCGGTAACGTAACTTAAGACCAAGTTAGTCGAAAAACCTGCGACTTATCTGGCCCTTTTATTCGGCTAACGAGATTTTAAAAACTTGTTAAAGTACTTTAAATTGTTTAATTTTTGTCGTTCGGTAGCGTAACTTCAGGCCAAGTTAGTCGAATTAAATATATGATGATTGCCCCCTGACTAATTTAAAAGAAGCCTTTTCTAACAATAATTCTTTGAATAACTTTTAAATAATTTTTGATATGGCATGTATTTACAATCTGTAAGGTATTTGCTTGAAAATGGATTTATTGAAAATTTACAAACTCTTTATTCAGAATTGTCAGTAAAGATTTATCTCCTTCATAAATCAGATTTTTATCAGTTGTTGACTGTTCATAAGTCAATTGATGATAGGGAGTCATACTCCTAAAGTTTTTCGTGTTCCGTAGCGCATTTCCAAAAGTAAATTTCCCTCCTACCCAATGGGATAGCTTAAAATAGACCACGTGATCAATGACGTCACGATCATGTGACTTGAGTAACCAATGGTATTGGTTAAAAAGGCAAAGTTTGATAGGTTGAAAGTGGTTCTACTATAAAGAAAAAAAAAATCGTTCCGGCATTGTATTTTTTTCATTGTTTTTTAAGTGAACCAATGGGGAATTGGGAATTGGAATTTGCACGTCATAGCATGCGGTGCGCATGCGCAACCCCCAAGAGGGGTTGCGCGGCATGCGCCTTCTGATCTTATTGTTTAAGAGACAAGATTAAAACAGATAAAAAAAATGTACTGCGCAAGCTTAGTGCGTCAAAGCTAGGTTAAAAATAAAAATAAATAATCCTTCTATTTAAATTATATTTTTTTATTTTAATCTTTTTATTTTAATAAAGTTAATACGCGTAACGCATTAAATAAAAAGATGTTTTTTTTAATATAATCATTTGCATAAAACGAATTTATAATTTTGTATAAGACTAAAAAATAAAATGAATCAACAAAACAACAAACCTATCGCTGTAATTATATTATTTTATATTATATTTTTTTATTTATTTTATATTATATTATATTTATTTTTTTTTGTTTTTAGATTGTAGAACCTTATAATCCTGAGGATGATCTTCCTGAGGAAGAAAAACGAAAAATAGAAGAAAGGAGACAAGTGCGAGAAAGAATTCAAAATTTGTTTTTTAGACCCATTGCTCCACCGCCAGAAGCAGTAATTATAGTTGTTTTTTTTTTTATTTATATTATATTTATATTATTTTTTATTTATATTATTTTTTTAGATTGTAGAAGATGAAGATGATGAAGATGATGATGATGATGATGATGATGATGATGTACCACAAGTAGATGAAGTACCAGCAAATAATTATGAACGCAATACACCTATAGTTTGTAATAATTTAATATTTATTTATTTTGTTGTATTTGTTTTTTATTTAGTTATTTTATATTGTATATATAAATTATAAATAATTTTTTTTGTAGTACCATCCATTGAATCTCTGTGCATAGGCTGCTGCCTGTGCTTTGCTCCGCTTCGACCACTAAGACCTTGCTGTCATTATCGTTGTGGAGCGTTAGGAGCGTGCACGGGTTGTTGCATATGCACTACAAATACTATTGAAGCGATCCGAGAAGCTATGCAGGATAAAATAGCTTTTAAAAGACAATATTGGGCTAACAACCCAATGCAATATCAAGATTGATATAATTTTGTAAATAATTTTTTTTTTATATATATTTTTTTTTAAATATTGTATATAGTTTATTTTGATATTAATTTTTTTTGTAATAAATTGAAAAAAAAAATATATATATTTTTATTTATTTTTTAAAAAAATAATACAAAATGAGTTTATCAAAGTTAGAGTATAATAAAAATATCGATTCTTTAATTGAATATGGAGAACAATTAAAAAAGCGTATAGAAGAGAAATCGTACAATTGTTTATTATTATATCGCATTAGGAAAGATAAGAACGGATTTAATGTTGATAATATAAAAAAAGATTATTCATATGATTCGCTAGAAGAAAAAGAGTTTATTAATAAAAATGGCTTATTTTTACAACAAGTTTGTTTTTTAATGAACAATTTAGCGTGTAACTATATAGAAGATCCTGAAAATATATATCCAGAAGATAGCGAAATACTAGAAACACTTATTAGGCAATCGATACAAGTGTTACAAAACTTGTATTGTTATTTTATTATTATAAACTATTTTGAACAAAAAGAATACGTTCGCGTTAAATTAATTAAAGAAATGATAAAGAAATTAGCATATCTTCTTATTATAGAACAGTCTCCGTTTTATTTGAATAAAGATAAAGAACATTGCTGTGATAAAATACAAAATGTTTTTTATGCAGTGAAACAATATTTATTGTAAAAAATAAAAAAATAAAAAAAATACAATATTTAATACAAATATAATATTTTTAATTAATTAGAAAGATACTAACACAAGGAAAATATTAATATTTTCCTTGTATCGGTATCTTTCCGTTAGTTTCTTTGCATGCTTCTTCATAACTAGGCGGAGCTTCATTTAAAATCCTTTCTGCATTAGGTATTATACTTTTATAAAAACAAGCTTTTTTTTCATCGTAATGCAAGTCTTGATATTTTGTATATAAATCTTTTCTACCAATTAAATTTAAACAATACTTAAAATAACCCAATTTCTCTTCCATTGTAGTATATTCTATTCCATCAATTTTCAGCGAATACATTCGTATATAATTTATTAAATCTAGAGCATTGTTTATTTTTTCTGCGCAACCATACGGAATCGCCAAACAATATTTTAACGATCTAACATTAGCATAGACTAATTCATTTGATAACAAAATTAAATCTTCCATTTTTTTTAATTATCTAAAAAAAATAAAAAAAATGTTTATAGCTAATATAACATATTTTTATTATAGTAAACAAAAAAATAATTATTTATAAAATATTTAAAAAAAAAAAACAACAATTAAAAATTCATTTTTTTTATTAACATAAAAAAAAATACATCAAGTAAAATAAACTTGAATCCAAAGTTTGTCATTGATTATATAATTTTTGAGTTCTTCGTGTTTCATAAAGTTATCATAACCACTCGTAATGTTTGCTTCATAGATGGGTCTATCAAAACTTTCGATATGTTGATATGTTAGAAAGCTTAGCAACATTTCATGATGATTATTTTTGATAAAAAAATTAACACGATTCTTCATCGGCCAGGTTAACATGTGATCATGTTCAGATTTTAAAATCTGAACATAAATAGCCAAGGTTTCTGGTTTTTGATAGCCATATATTTTCACACGAAAACAATAACCTTCTTCTGTAAAACAGGGTTTGCTATAATACGGTTCATTGGATTGCAATCGTAGTGTCATATTTTCTAAACAAATAAAAAGTTTTTTTCGCGTTGGTACATCATAATGTTGATCACATTCATTTTTCTTTTGTTCTAATTCGTGCTTAAACGATCCCACAATGCTTCTTAATTTATCATAATAGCTAGAAAAAAGTACATCAGGTTGTTTGCAAACCGTTTGTAAAACACTTAACTTTGTTTCCAAATTTTCAATTTTTTGATCCACTTTTGAACCTTCTTTTATTGTTAAATTGACTGCTGTGTTTAGATATTTCATACTTTCTTGTATCGATTGAAAATTTTTCATTTTACTATCCACATGATTCTCTATTTTCTTTATATCTTCAACTAACTTTAATATCTTTTGAGTAGAACACGACGCATAATGTTCATTAAAAAGAACCTTTGTACCAAAAGATTCATTGCACAAAGCACATTTTCGATGAGGATGAGGACCACCGCAATCACATTCAGAAAAAACTTCTTCCATTTCATTATCATTAATAATTATAAAATTTTTATTTGTTTTTCTTTCTTCTTCTTGAATAAATAAGGCACCGCAATGCACTTGATGCTTTAATAAATCATTTATTGAGAAGTCCTTTTCACAAAAACAACAATTTTGTAAGTTGCTTGCCATTTTTTTTTTAATTTTTAATCTAAAAAAAAATATAAAAAAATATTATTAAATAAAGAACATATTTTTTTTTAAAAAAAAAAGAAAATTAAATTAAACAGAAAAAAAAAAAACACTGCATTATTTATAATCTACTTTTTATTTTTATTTTTACACAGTTACAATAATAATTACAATTTCCTCTACATATTTGTATAATTTCGACTCGTTTTACTTTTTGTTTCTTCATACGTCTTGTTCTTTTTTTCTTTTTTGCATTATATTCATAATCTGATTCTGATTCGCTTCTATTCATAGTTATATCTTCATCTTCTATTTGAGGAGGAGACATTTTTTTTTAAATTTTTATAAATTGACTAGAAAGAAGTGTTAAAGGTGGTAAAAACAAACTACTTTCTACAAATTCACATTGATTTAACATCCATTGTAAAAGATTAGAATAAATCAAAATAAATTGTTTGAATTCTGAAAAGTGAATGTTAAGTGAATGTAAATAATCGATTAACAATATATCTAAAAGTATATCAATCGTAGCTATAAAATCCTGTTGCATTTTAATATAATAAGTATTTTTATTTCTCATATATGTTTCAAAACAATGACAATAAAAATAATCAAAACGTCTAACAAAGTTTTCTTTTAAATATAAATGACTAAAAAAAGGTGCAATATTTTTAATTGTTTCATTAGCCGTATCCATTGTTTTTGTAATTGCTAAATTTCTTTTAACTATTTCAAATAAAGTCGGTATTTTAATTAATAGTTTTTGATGAAGGGTTTTTACTTTTTTTCGTAGTATGAATAAATCTGTTACTTCTGGATAGAACTTGCTAAATTCTTTATGAAATTCTGAATTCTGCCACGGAAAATACCATGGTAAATACCATGTATCCATTTTTTTTATTAATAATCTAAAAAAAGTTAAAAAAAGTTAAAAAATTGTCAAATAGAATATATAAATATTTTCAATAAAATACAAAGACAAAGACAAAGAAAAATAAAAAACAAATATATTTTTTAACAAAATATATTTAGATATTCTCCCAAAAAAAGGCTGAAATGTTCGATTAATAATTCAGCATTTTCTACATTTATTTTTTTTTTTTCTAAATTATCGATAAAAATAAAAATGTCTATAAAAATGTCTCTATTTTTTTCAAAATAAAAGTTTAATATCTTTAATTTCTTTATGTTTTGTTTGCAGTGTTCGCAATGTTGCTCGGCTAAACTATTTAAAGAATTCAAGAAGACATCTTCGATATTTAAAGCTAATGCCAAATGTTTCCATGATATAGAATCATTTTTAAATAAAAACCAACATATAATTCTACTTTGCGAATATTTTTCCTTTATTTTTGTTTCAGCTTCAATGTCCATTAACGCTTCTAATTTAGAATTCATTTTTTATTTTTTTTAGCTTGAAAAAAAGTTAAAAAAAAGTTAATATTATTAAAAGTATTAGAATTAAAAATGAGTAAAAAAAATAAAATAAAAAAAAAACAATTATAATTTTTTTAATTATATATTTTCATTTCCAAATTTTTTACAAAATTCATTCAAATGATAAACATAAAATTCTTTATCAATAATACTTTCATAATAATCAGAAAAATCTGCAAATGTTTTTTTTTTATTTTCGATTAAAACTTGCTCCACTTTTTCTTTTAAAATTTTTAATTTTTCAACTAATAACAAATGTCCTTCAGGATGCATTTGAAAAAAATATCTTACTAGTTGATACATTTTTTCTTCCCTTTTATGTTCTTCTTGTATAATAATACCAATTTTGTTTTGTAAATCCAAATGTTCTGCAATTTCAATCCAATATTCATGCAAATAATGTACTAAATAAAATTTCATGTCCCTTTCTATACTATCCATTTTTTTTAATTAAATCTAAATAGATATATTATAAATTATTAACAAAACAAATATAACAACAAAAAATTATTTTTTTCTATATTTTTTTTAAGAAAAGAAATAAAAAAAACAATATATAACAACTTTATTTTTATTCGTCAAATTTGTTACAAAAGTCATGAAATAATTCAATAAGTTTTTCAGATATTTTTATTTCATCTTGGTTTAAATGTATTTTAAAAAAATCATTATTAAGTCTTTCTTTTTCATTCAACATTATAGTTAAAATATGATCTTTAAATTTCTGTGTTTGTCCAGGGTTTATTTTAAAAAATTGCGAAACTACAGAATGCATTCTTTCTTTATCGTCAGTAAAATAACAGTCTAAAATTAACTTGTCAAAATATTTATAACTAAATTCATGAGCTAACCATCTCCAATATTTGCAATATTCTTCTTCGCATAACACTGATTTCATAGCTTCTTCCATTTTTTTTAAATAG